TGAGTGAATTGCAGGACAAATTTGAATTTGAATTGTCTGTTCTGCTTGGAGAATGTGTAGATGCTGCAGTTTGATATTGAGGTTCTAAACCTGTGGGTGCTGAAAGTCTGCAAGCAATTTCTTCAGGTGAATTTGGAGCGAACACGCTAGCGAATGCCATTATGAAAAATGAACTGTTTTTTTCAAATAAGAGTTTGAGATGAACCGTTTTTCGTCAACGGAGACCCCCTCTATTTTTTTATTTTATTTAATAGTTACCGTTGGCAAACCGTTCCATCTCAAATATTGAATGAACTATAAACGTTTTTTGTTTTCTATATATACTTTTTTGTCCAACGGTAAAACTTTTTACACAACGGTTTTTGAGAGTCGTCGCCGTTGACTTTTTGTAGAGCACTCAAAATAGTATAACTTTGTCCGGACAAGTAAGGGTCTATCGTCGCTACAGGAAAAGTTACAGGCGTTCCAAGGAAGTATACTTTGAGAAGCCTTTTCCCCTTATAGAATGAGATAGGACGGTTATTTTACAAAACTGACAACACTTTGACCGAGTAGTTTTTTGTGCTGAACAAAAAGTGTCATATAAACATCTGTCAAAAACCGCTTTTTAACTTCACTTAAAATGCCACGTAAGCTACGTAAGAATATACGTAAGAGGAAGAGAGCATTGAAACATCCAATAGTAAAACTGACACCACAACAACAGTTGCAACAACAAATTATGAATGACCCCACTATGTTGCAACAAATGTCAAGCAACCCTATGCTTTTAAACCGAGTTATTGGTGCACAGAGTGGAGGTTTAAGAGCGGCACTTTTAGCGAAAATGGCAGGCTATGGTGGAGCTGCAGACGGAACAGCTTATAACCCTCAAAGTCAAATGAATTTGAGTTCACTCAAAAATCAAATAACAGATGTCAAAAAGTCAAACATAGACATACAGAAACAAATAAGTGAAAACGAAAAGAAACTAGAATATGACAGACACACAAAGAAACTCAATGAGTTAAACGTAGAGAAAAAGAAGAAAGAAGAACAACTGAAAGAACTAAGTACAGAGGAATATGCGAAAAAAGTGTCAGAAAAAGCAGCAGAAGTAGCAAAAATGGAACAAGATGTTATAAATTTGAAAAACCATACTACTCAATATAAAGTACTGAAAGATGAAGAAATAAAACAAAAAGCCCTGAAGACATATATGGATAGCGATGAGTATAAAAAAGAAGTTGAAGCAAATGTAAAGGCAGAAAAACTTTTACAGTTGCAAAACCAAACCGTACAGTATGAAAACTTAGCACAAGAAAGTAAAAATAACGACGCAGCCATGCAAAAGGCAATGAAAAGCGCAGAATATATTGTAATAAACAGAAATTCATCAAAAGTGACAGCTCTCAATTTTTTGACATTTGTAAATTCTAAATTGAATGAGAAAAATGAAATAATACTAAGCATAATACAATATTCTAGATTTAATTATAATTAGGAAAAAGTTAGTTTTGAGAGTACTTTTCATAGGCATATAGAATGAAATCTTCTGAAAAATAATATCACATAAACTCATATTATTTTCTAATATATAACTATTTTATATAAAAATCAAATTCAATGATCTTAAAAGCGAAGGATAAACCTCAAAATTTACGAATATAATGAGTGGGAATATTTCATATGGTTTTATGATAGATAAGCATTATATTCCCACTCATTAATATTCGTAAATTTTGAGGTTTATCCTTCGCTTTTAAGATCATTGAATTTGATTTTTATATAAAATAGTTATAATATTAGAAAATAATATGAGTTTATGTGATATTATTTTTCAGAAGATTTTGTGTTCTTCTTCAAAATTTTATTTTTTTATTAAAAAGAATCTTTACAAAATATACATTTACTTTAATTAATATTTAAAAACGTGCTCTATCAAAAGTTCCAAAAATTCAATATTTTAGCTTTTCTGAGGTGTCACTTTTGATGAATTTCTGTTTACAACAATATAAAAGCTAATAATGACTGGTTAGATGCCCAAGCCAACGCTAAAGCAGCCCAACTTATAGGGTCAATAAGGACAAAAATACAAGCGGATGAAGACAGTTCAAATGAAGCTTTAATGAATGCTGACTTTAAGAACGCCTTCGAAGCTCTTCATAGTAAGGTGAAACTAGTGAACGACTTCTCATCTGGAAAGAAACTGAAGTCTGAAGTTTTCGACAACGAGTTAAGAGAAGTAGCACAAAATATGACGAAAATAACAGATGCAGCAACGAGACAGGCAGTTCAAAGTGCCTATGACGCCGTTAGAGCAACTGTTGTGGAAAGTCAAGAAAAAGAGTTACAACAGACCAAAACAGACCTAGTAAATGCTTTCTTAAGAACGAAAAGTCAGGTAGGACATTATGCTGCAGATGGAACATATGTGCCAGCTGGTGGAACTTATATACTAGCTAGTGGAACTTATATACCACCAAACCCTCCAAGAGAAGCACCTGCACCAGGACTACCTAAAACATTTACATCGTCACATGGACACAGACACAGGCATGCACCAAAACCAACACAACAACCAACACAACAACCAACAGTTCAAAATCCAGCACAACAACCAACAGTTCAAAATCCAGCACAACAACCAACAGTTCAAAACCCTGCACAACAACAACCACAACCAGCACAACAACCAACAGTTCAAAACCCTGCACAACAACAACACAAACAGAGCAAGGACATAAAAGAAGTAGAGAACAAGGAAACCAAGAATTCTTAAAATGCTTAAGGAAGACTATGGTTACCCAGATACTCTTGACTTTAGTGACAGATATAAAGAAGCTATTAGAAAGTTCAAGGAATGGAAATACTGACCCGAACCTATTTAGCTTTATGGCTCAGCACCAAATGGGATATAATTTCAAACCTGGAAAATACAAGCTCGCTAAGGGATATGATTTAATAGCATATCATCCAAATGACATGACTGAATTTACTCCGAGATATTGGTGTCAGAGCTAAATGATAATTCAACTCTCTTCATGAAACGCGTAAAAAATAGAGACGGAACGAAAGAAGAAAGGTTTATGAGTCCGGATGACTTAGATAGGGAACTTGTTAAAAACGGTCTCGGAATATATGAAATGCCACCAGATGAGGTACAAGAAACTCCACAGGAAGAAGTTCAGATACAACCAGACATGGAAGAAATAGTTCAGCAACAACAGCTAGAAGAGCCAGAAGGAAACGAACAAGTCCCTCCTTTGGAAACTAACTTCACAGAACTAGATGAAGATTTGGAACAGCCGAAAAATCTTGACCCTCAACAAGAGTATGCGGAGAATATGGAATCTTTCCAAGAGTCTAAGAAAAATTCAGCTGACATAGTAGAAGAATATCGAAAAATGTTCGCCGACATACAAAAGACTCCAACATCAGATGAAAATATTCAGCATAGAATGGAAGTACTGAAAGAAAGTGTACGCAAATACAACAATCCTTTTTACTTACGACCATATAACGTTCAATCTTTGGCTGAACTCGGTGAAAATAAAAGGTTAAATTTCACAAAACATATAGAAATGAAACATTGTTTAAAGTTCATTCAGAACCTAACCAATATGGAAACAAACCTACTTTTGTTTCTGCAGACTATGGAACTACAATGAGATGGGGTCATAAAGCTAATCCGGATAGGTGGTTCATAAACTTACAACCACAATTCCAAGAAGTTGTAGACGCAATGGAAGTGAATGGTGAACCAGATATAGCTGGTATTTTCAGCGCGGCTTTAATGCCATTGAAAGATATGAAAGATGCAGATATTTTGAAACCAGTATGAAATGAACATGGCTGATGGAAATATAACACCTGACGTTCTAGAACATTTATCTCAAAGAACTACACAGAACCATAAAGATGGTATATTTGGTGAAGAGTTTAGAAAGAAAGTTAGGGAGATAGAAGGAAGAGAACCTATTGTACATGACCTTGCAAACGAAAGTTTGCAAAATGTCATAAAAACTTACTTTGCAGACAATGAACTGAGAAGGGATGAATATTTAAGAAAACTCAAATGGACAGTACCGAAATGAAATGTTAGTATTGAAAAACATGTTCCTTGACAAAATAAAACCAACTACAGAAATAAATGACGCAAGACTGAAACATTGGTAAAAGCTTTCCCATTCACAAAAGATTTATTGGTCACATGGAAAGAAAACCAGAATGGCTACAAAAACATATATTTGGAAACGAGCTTATTCCATATGGACAAGCTCTGTTTGAAGAGCTTGAACCGGAAACTCAGGAAAGAGTCATGCAAACAATACGCGAAGACTCAAATACAAACTATGACAAAATCTTTCTAGGATATAGGTTACCTGAGATGGGCGACCAGAGCCCAAAGGCAAAAAGGACATGGGAAATTTACAACATTAGGTGAACATGAGGCAAAGATGCAACAACTTGAAGCAGAGGGCAAGTTACCAAAAGCGACACCAAAGAGAAGAGAGAGTGAACAAAGTGAAAGTAGTGAAGAAGTAACTTCATCTAGTGAAAGTAGTGGCAATGAAGGAAAAAAGAAGAGTTAAAAACTCAGTCAGAGAAAGTAAAGCTTGGTACGATACAATTATGACACATAAATCCAACTATTCTATATTTTTACCCATATGAAATGTACGCCGCTCAGAATATAACGCCAACAGTTTTGGATGCCATGAACGGAAATGTTTCCGAATGGTATAACGAATGCGACAATGCCATTAGAAGGTCAGAAATAGTTCCTGGAACTTACGAATATACAACTGCTGTTTCTTATGGAAACGTAGGTGAGTTTGGAGAAGGTTCTTCAACAACAGTAGATATTGCTTGCGACAGGTTTCATATTATTTCTATTGACAACCTCATTCTTATACGTGGAACAAGACATTGAAATAAAACCTTCTGCCAAGTTGTCTGACAAGAAAGGTTGCAATGGAATTTTCTATGTCGGATACCAATATGCTCCAGAAGTTTTCATGGGATATAAGATATATTCTAACTCTGACTTAGTTCAAACAGTAACATGGGCAAACTATGAATGGTTCGCTTTGAGAAACTCAGTACAACCACAAGCTAGAGAACAAACAGACCAGTATGCAACTATTGAGAAAATAAGAAGACTTGACCCTAACGTTCCAGGAGTTTATGTTAACCTTTCTGGACAAACTGCAGCAGCAGTAACCAAAGTAAAACTGAAACTTAGAGTTCCTTTGTCATCTTTCCTCATCTTCAGGTTTTTAAGATACTTGCCAAACTGGGCAGGAAAAATTTCTATCGAACTTACTCCAAGCAAAAATAACTTAGTCATTGCACCAACACAAGACCCATTCACTCTTACAGATACAGCTGGTGGAGCCAAGTTCTGTGACTTTTGCAAAGACAAAGTTGACTTAGACTTTGGTTTCTCAAACTTCAACAATGAAGTAAACTATTATTTCAATGCTGCTGGAACTGCTTGGGACCCAGTTAAGTTTACATGCGAAAAATTTGAATGCAAGAGAATAGAAAGCAGACTTGCCGTTTATATGTTGGACCCAGATATTTCAAATGCTTTAGCTGCCAAATATATTGCAGTTCCACTTATGTTCCCTATACACCAAATATCTGTCAAAGACTTTGCAGGTGAAGTTGGAAACCAAAGTGCTGACCCAGGTGCAAGAACAGATATTGCTTTAACAACTGCAATGAAACATGCAGATACTATGTTTGTACTGTTCAGACGAACTATAAATGACTATTCTTGTTTCTACAACCCCGGTATTAAATATCATATAAACATAGATGGCAAATATTATCCAAGAGAAGAATATTCTACAGTTGAGGATATGAGGTCATACAACTTGACATTAGATGCTATGAACTTTAACAACAACTTCACAACAACCATTAACCCTGAAATGCAAAGTTCTATTATGCCATATGTGAAAGTATGGACTCATACAGGAGGTCAAAAAACTCAATATACAAATGGAGACCGTTCAAAACTTTTGGCTTGGCATTCCATTTGCTGACTCAGAAGACTTTATGGGTGGTATTTCAACTGTTGGTACTGTACAAATACAATATACTGGTGACAGAGACGGTCCAGATGAATTGAAAGCAAAGAAGTTTACAAAACCAATAGCACTTTTCACGGAAGATGCTCTTTTGAAGATTCGTTCGATGAAACCTGCTGGGCTCCTCAGATTGGCATAACGACAGCTTCCATCGAGCAGATTTTGGCAGCAGGTCAGTAAGTTGTTCTTGAACTGACTTCTCTCCGTCAAATATTGACAGTACGCCAGTTTTGACATAGTATTGTATTATAAACTTACCTTTAGAAATATCTGTAAGTTTTGTTGTTATATTTTTGTCAACGTCAAGAACTTTCACCATTTCAGTTATACCAACTTTCTTTGCTTTATGGAAATATTTTGGTTCAGCAGATATTGCTATTCTATAACATTTTCCATTGTTTGTATAAAGAACTATTCTGTCAATGTATTTGTATTGTTTGTGTGTGTAAACTTTGTTCTGCTTCAATTCGAAGAGATACTCGAATACGTCCATCTTTTTATTCTAAGTAAAATGTCATTTCCGAAAAATAGAAGCGTGAGTGTTTCAAAAGGTTTAATGGCGGGTGGCAGATGTGAAGTTAAATTCACCAACTCAAACAAACAGTCAAAGTGTTGTTGTCAATGTCAAAGACAGAGATGTTGAAGTGGGGAAACCATACGAAGACAAAGATGGTATAACAATTGTTCCTGTAAAAGAACCAACATATCCTGAAGTTAGCAGAGACTTAAGTTCTGTTGCAGATATTCGAAACGACTACCAACAACTGAAAGACAAACTTCAAACTCAGGAGAAGATTTGTCAAGCTTTAAGTATAATGTTAAACTTGGTCGAACACAACCCTGTAAAAGTGAACTCATATGTCATTGCACCTCATGAAGTTTTGAAAGAACTATTGAAACTTTTGACAGAGGCAGACGATATAAACATCAAAGAAATAGAACCCGACATTAGTTGCTGTGGTGTTTCATATAATGTCATTGACAAGATATACGTTATGAAAGGAGGTGAAACGTTGAACTTAAAGTATAGTTTCCCAGACGTCATAAAAATATTTGACGACCACAACATTTCATTAAAATTTATTTGCTAAGTAAAAATGTCAAAACTTCTTGAAAGATGTTTGAAGAAAAATAATATAGACTTTATTTCATGTAAAGGACTTTACACACTTTTGAACGATATGAAAGACCCTGTTTTGTTTGTTCGTGTAGACAAAGGAAAGTTCTATGTCTTTACAAAATATTTGAACTTCTTAGACAGAGAACTTCAAGAAACGCCATGTGAAAGTTTAGATGAAGTTCTTCTCCACTTTCAGAAAAACTTTTAAATATATATAAATGGCAGAAGATATAATGGTTTATACTATTACGACTAAAAACCCTGAGTCATATAATTCTATAACAACAAACTTACAAAGTCCTCAAGGACGGTATTGTAAACTAACTTTAAACACAATGACGACTAAAGCCTGTTTTGCTCTTTTGACACCAGAAGACTTTATTGTTGTGAATGGTAAAAAATACTCCTTTGAAGATACTTACTCAGATATACCACCAACAGGTTTTGTTGACTTATTTAATACTTTAAGTACGGGTGTAACATGTGCTGCAACTAGAGCAGGTTTCATTATGTTTGGATGTCCGACTGAGTTTACTATAAACGATATGAGCTATAATACAAAACTTATTTCTGGTTTTTACTACCAACAGTTTCCTATAACAGGAAAAGGTGTCATACAAGGAATGTCTATTCCATTGACATTAAGCACACCAATCTTATATATTGTTTCAAACTTAGGTTCAAAGTGTTATTCGAATGTCGACAGAAACTATTATGACCAAAAGATACTTATGCGTATAAACAATACTTTCTCTGCTGGTTTGTCTATTGTTCATTCGAATGCAGAATTTTCAACCTTAGTGAACTCAAACACTTTGGCAAGTATAACGTTGACATTAGTTGACGCAAACTTTGTTCCTGTAAAACTTTTATGTCCTATGTATTTGTCAATGACGGCAGAAAGTTTCGAATTGGAAGATGCAACTGGTGAAAGTATTGTATTACAAGAACAACTTCAACAACAAATAGCTCAAGAACAACAAATGCAACAAATGGAACAAATGCAACAACAAAGTCAAGAATAAAAAAAATATTTTTTTATTTTTATAAAAATGTACAGAATAGATGTTTCAGATTTTTATGACTTCAAGCATTCAGAAATATGTGTCCATTTCGAGACTATAACAAAGCAGTCGAGAATTTGAAACGTTTAGTCATTTATGTTGACTCTGCCCCAGAATGTTATGTTATGAAAGAATGGTGAGTCTTTAACAAACCTAAAGCGACAATAGTTTCAGAACAAGAATGTAGACAAAACTTAAGAAAATAAAAGTTGTACAAGTTGGCATGAAGATGTTAGATGCTTGGGATATCTTATTGTCAAAGTTAGAAGATTTTTCAGTTCGAGGTATAAAGTTCTATACACCTTCTCCAAACTTCTATTCTATCTTCACTGGATATATAATATGAACAAGTAGAATGGAAAGAAAATATTATAGAAGCTTGGTTAGACCATGTCAAAGAAATTATATGCAATGGAAACGAAAGAGTCTATGAGTATATCTTATGTTGGTTTGCAAACATCTTACAACATCCAAGTGCTAAAAATGAAACTGCTCTCATTATAATTGGAAAACAAGGAACAGGTAAGAATACTTTCTTTACAGATATCTTATGCAAACTGTTAGAGGGCTATTCGAACCCGAATATGACAAACTTAGAAAACATCTGTGGCAAGTTTAACTCCTCAATAGAGAATATGAAACTTATAGTATGTAACGAACTTCAAAGTATAGATACAACAAAAGTTTTGAACTCAGATGCTTTGAAGAGTCTTATAACAGACAAAGTTGGAGTCGTTGAAAGAAAATATAAAGACCAAAGAGTTTGTGAAAATGTTGCAAACTTCATTATGGTTTCAAACAATACTGTTCCGATGAAGTTAGAAAGTTCTGACAGAAGATATGTAGTTGTCAGAACGTCAGAAGCTCATATGCAAGATACAGAATATTTTGACGACTTAGCAGAAACTTTGACATCTGACTTTTACAACCACTTGTTCTCATATTTTATGACATTGGATATTTCAAAGTTCAATCCAAGACAAATTCCACATACCGAAGAGAGACAAACATTGTTAGAAGCAAACAAGAGTGTATATGAACTGTTCATAGATGAAACTGACTTTGAGTGTTTAGATGAAAGGTCATTGTACGATTCGTATAAACAATATTGTCAAGAATATGGTTATATGACAGCGTCTAAACGAACATTCTTGGCAAATGTCAAAAGTCTTTTAGATGTTCAGAATGGTGTATATACAAAGAAAATTTTTTCTGAGTAAATTTTTTAAAAAAATATTTTTTTATCCGATAGAAAAGATGACAAAATTCATCTCAGTAAACAAGTACATGTTAGGACTTAAAGAAGAACTAGACCCATTCACATATTTGAATGTTTACTTCTACCATTTTGAAAAGTCTTCATTCAGCAAAGTTTGGAACATCGAACCAGTTAAGTTTGCTATTGTGACTAAAAATGGTGCGAAATTTGAAGACTTAGAGATAGAAGGTTTGTTAGCAGTCAAAGAAAGTTTTGACAGAAGGTTTTCAAACCTTAAAGAAGGCAAAGCATACAAACTTGTTATACCTTATGAACCAAAGAAAGCAGACGACTATGAATATTATGAGTCTAAAGTTGTAGAAGTTCAAGGTAAATTGGGTAAAAAGATTTTAGAGTCTAAGCCAGTGTTTACTCCTAAAGAGGAAGAGAACATTGACATTGACCCAGAAATGTTCTAAAAATAAAATTTTATTTTTACATGTCAAATTTCTTTTTCTCTGGAACTGGTTCAGGTTCTTTCTTCTCTTCTTCTACTTTCTTTTCTTTCTTTTCTTTCTTCTTCTTTTCTGGTGGAGTTATGTCAAACTTCTCAGAACCATATTTTTGTAAAAGTTCTTTGTCCTTTAATAGCTCTTCTATTCTGTTTTCTATTTCATCTTCAAGAACAGCGCATGTGTCTTCTTTGCATTCTAAGAACTTTTGTTGGACTTCATCTTTCCAATCGGTGTCATCTCTGTCAACAAGTCTGTCATTGAGAAAAAACCAGAATTTTCGAAAAAGTGACACCAACTATTAAAGTTATTTTATTACTAGATTTATTTACAAATTATAAGATAATATCATTAACCGAATATATTTTTAATATAAATAAAAAACTTTTTTTATACAAAAAATTACAATCAATCGATAAATATTATAAAACATTTATTCCAAAAAGATTAAGTAATAGGTGGGATCCTGCATATAATATAATTTTATGTCATAAAGCTTACAAATTTTAGATGGACCACAGTGAGAATGTGAGTGGTTAATTTAAAGGTGGTCTGATAAAGAAATCGAGGCTTACTCAACACAGCATGAAGCAGTTTCTAATACACAATCTTACTAGTCGTGTTTCGGTCGCCAGCGCTCTCATAGGGGTGCTGATTTCAAAAACCACTACTTCAAATTATTCAACAATACTCAATGCAGCATGAAGCAGCTACTACTGCTGTATCTTACTGGTAGTGTTTTGGTCGTTGGCTCTTGCACAGTCTCTCAGATTTTCAAAATTTTTTTTTCAACACTATCTTGTTTCGCTCTCAGAAAGCTATCCTACAAAGACATCGAAGCTTACTCAACACAGCATGAAGCAGTTTCTAATACACAATCTTACTAGTCGTGTTTCGGTCGCCAGCGCTCTCATAGGGGTGCTGATTTCAAAAACCACTACTTCAAATTATTCAACAATACTCAATGCAGCATGAAGCAGCTACTACTGCTGTATCTTACTGGTACTGTTCTTCGCTTCTTACTATCAACTCTAAACTAGTTTGATGTATTATTTATTCATATATAAATATATACATATATAAATATATACATATATAAATATATACATATATAAATATATACATATATAAATATATACATATATAAATATATACATATATAAATATATACATATATAAATATATACATATATAAATATATACATATATAAATATATACATATATAAATATATACATATATAAATATATACATATATAAATATATACATATATAAATATATACATATATAAATATATACATATATAAATATATACATATATAAATATATACATATATAAATATATACATATATAAATATATACATATATAAATATATACATATATAAATATATACATATATAAATATTACATATATAAATATATACATATATAAATATATACATATATAAATATATACATATATAAATATATACATATATAAATATATACATATATAAATATATACATATATAAATATATACATATATAAATATATACATATATAAATATATACATATATAAATATATACATATATAAATATACATATATAAATATATACATATATAAATATATACATATATAAATATATACATATATATATATAAATATATAAATAACAAAATATAATCAAAAAATAGTGTTTGGAAATTTAAGGTTAAGTGTCACTTTTTCGTAAATTCTACCACACTCGTCTTCTTTGCATTCTAAGAACTTTTGTTGGACTTCATCTTTCCAATCGGCGTCATCTCTGTCAACAAGTCTGTCATTGACAAATTTTAAGACTGCTCTGCTTAATGTTTTATGGTTCTTGTCATATTCCCAGAAACAGAACTTTAGAACAAATTCACCTTTCTTGTTTACACTATGTAAGATTTTATGGTCGACAGATGTTTTGCTGTCGAAAAGCTTGTCTCGAATATAGATAGCGAAATCGCTAGACATTTTCTAAAAGATAAAAATTTTAATTTTTCTAAAAATATGTTAGAAAAAAAGTTTGCTGACATTGACAAAAAATTTGAGAATGTTTTAAACAAGAACAAGAGGAAGTTAGAAAATGCTCAGATAAAGCCTATACATGACAAGTTCTTATTTGCTCAGAATGGTATAACAGGTCTAATTGCACCACCTGGGTCGGGTAAGACTTTCACTTATCTTAAAATGGCTGCACAACAACAAGAACTAGATGAGAAGAACCCATTCTATGAGTTAGTTGTCATTTGTAGTACTTCTGGTCAATTTGACCAAACCGTCAATTCGTTCAAAGATATTATAAAGAAGTCTAAGTTAGTATGTATAAAAGACTCTGAGTTGTTAGATTGGATAAAGAAGTACCAAAGAAGAGTTTTGAAGTATAATGCTATAAATGAGTATATAAATTCGAAGTTCAAAGACCCAAATGAGGAAATGCAGAGAAATTTAGAGAAGAAACACTTCAGAAACAAACAGAAAGAGATAGAATACATTTCGAAGAAATTGCAATCTTACGATTGGAAGACTTACCCTCATAGATGTCTTTTATCTTAGATGACTTTGCTTCTCATCCTTTGTTAAAGAATAGAGAACAAGACATGTGTCGAATTCTTAAGAAGCTCAGACACTTTAACATCTCAGTTGTCATTTGTGTACAGACAGCAAAGAGTTTAAGTAAGGATGTTAAAAGAATACTTACTGACATTGTACTTTTCCCCGGATTGTCCGAAGACGATTTCATGGAACTTATGAAAGAGTCCATGGCAGGTAAGTTTGACAGACATGAACTATGGGAGAAGTACAAAGTCATACAAGACCCTCATACTTCTTTCAGAATTCATATCTACGCAAACAAAGTTCAAATTGTAAAAAGTCAAGCTTGAAAAATGTAAGTGTTTAGTCTTAGTAAGATGGTAGCTTCTTAAAGCATATGCCGTCCTTGAGTTTTAGGTACGTGAAGAGAAGTACAATGAATTCAATTACGAGTACAATTGCAATGACAACTAAGGCAACTATTTTTGTCTTTTGCCAGCAAGGGTACTTCTTCTCTTCCAATGGTTCGGCAGAACTATACTCACTCATGAGAAATGTCAAAACGGTTTAATAGAAAAAGTGTCATCTACCCTACTTGTTTGAAGTTGTCAAAATACTCTGTTATTTTTCACTGTTTTCATAGAGTTTTGGCGACTGGGGTTTCTTACCTACTCGCTATTCTTCACTGTTTTCATAGAGTTTTAGGCGACCCAGATAAAAGTCGGTCTCGCTGTTCTTCACGATTTTCATAGAGTTTTGGCGACTAAGGTTTTTTACCTACTCGCTGTTCTTCACTGTTTTCATACGGAATCTCTTCTCTCGGTTTTCCGAGGGAAGCAAGCATATGCCATTTTTTAACGAAGTGAAGGTTTGCACTTCGTCAAATTTTATAAAAAATTAGCGTTATTTTTACATTATGACACGAAGTGAAGATTTGCACTTCGTCAAATTTTATAAAAAATTAGCGTTATTTTTACATTATGACACGAAGTGACGATTTGCACTTCGTCAAAAATAACAGTTATATAATGAAAAAGTGTCATTTTTTTCATGTCAGAAGACTCGAAGGTGCAACACTTCCAAAATACCGACGAACTCAGAAGAGCAGCATGGCAGTATCTTCTTGACAACTTCTTTGAGTTCTCCAGGTACACCTTGGAAAATGCTGAAGAACTCCGACACAGAGAATTTGGAGAAATTGCGCTCCAATACTACCTTGACAAACAAAGGGTAAACAAAGGGTAAACAAAGGGTAAAATAAGACTAAAAACTTAACGTTTAAAAGTGACATTTTTAATGAGCTCCGAGTCACCGAGAAAACTTGGTCAGATGTTAGCAGCTTACTTCCCTGAGGAGGATGGAAGCGTTACATACGTAAGGTTCAAAAACAACGAACCTGGAATTGCGTACCAAATTCGCAATTACATGACCATGGAAGAGTACGAAAGGTTCCTACAAGAGAAACCAGCTCTAAACAACTCAGAAAAGAAAGAATAAAAAGTTTAACTCGTAATTGTTTATTTTTTTTACTTGTATGGGCAAGCTGCAAGAATGAAGTCGACTATCTCAGTCTTTGTTTTGACGAGCTGGACGGCTCTTGCGAGTACGTCTGTTTTGCGGTCTCCAGCTGGTGTCTGACCTTCGTAATTGCGCATGTTCTTGAGAGCTCCAACTGTAAATGATTGTAGGATGAAGAGTCTCTCAGACTGCTTGAGGTAGTCTTCACGGTCACGAACCGAATCTGTGGTACGAGTCGAATCGGTCGATTTGAGGGAAGAGACTGAAAGCCTGTCATCTTCCATAGGGGCAGTAGCATAATCTTTGCGTAAGCGGTTCAGACCTTCTTCGAACTCTTGGTCTCTCTTCGATTTGGATTGAGATTGGAATTGCTGGGGTGGAGCTTGCTGGAACATCCAAGGGTTGGGGAAGTAAGGCATAGGCTGAGGAGGGTAGTTCGGGAAGCCTTGTGGTGGGTAGTAACCTTGAGGTGGAAATTGGTAGTAAATCGGAGGTACTTGCTGGAACTGAGGTTGCTGAGGAGACTGTTGTGGTTCTGCAGCTTTCGGTTCTTCTGGTTTGGGAATGGACTCGGTTGGTGGGACGTCAGTCATTGTTCTGAAACAGTACAAGACTAGTTCTGAAACAGTACAAGTATTGTTCTGAAAAAGTACAAGTATTGTTCTGAAACAGTACAAGTATTGTTCTGAAAAAGTACAAGTATTGTTCTGAAACAGAAAATTTTTCTCACAAATTGAGAGCTTTTACGGGAAATTTGTTCTGAAACAGGACAAGTATTGTTCTGAAAAAGTACAAGTATTGTTCTGAAACAGGACAAGTATTGTTCTGAAACAGTACAAGACTAGTTCTGAAACAGTACAAGTATTGTTCTGAAAAAGTACAAGACTAGTTCTGAAACAGAACAATGGACAACATCGAGCCATTAGATGAGGCAATTTACCTTATAGAGATAAATGAAGTTGTTAAGCAGTACTTGGGCAAGGACAAAGCCAACAAGTCCCTCGGCTGCTGGTTGTCTGGAAGAGGTGCGCTGAAAATCGAAATTGAAACCGGAATTCCAATTCAAATACCAGAAAACACTCCTGTAGACGACATAAAGGAGATGAAGAAAGAAGCTCTTCTCAAGTTCTTTGCAAAGCGCCCATGGATACAACTTCCAAACAGAGAGAGTCCAATTCCACGAATTATACAAATTCTCAGAGCACTGTTCCACTTCTCAGGACGGCCGTTCTTCATAACCTCAGAAGGCGACATCCAACCAGTACTGTAAACCTTAACGTTTAGAGTAAAAACATTTTTTTCATTTTTTGAATGAAGCAAGTTAAATTCGTCCCACACCAATCTGAATGGACCGATGAAGAGTTTCAAGCCATCGTTGAAGACGTTGAGAACGACATAGACGGCGAACTTGAAGGAGCTCAAATCACAATTGCAACCAAAATTGCAGAGGTCAAGGAACAGATAGCTCCACTTAAAGCTACCAAAGCTACTCTTGACCTCATGGATAGTTACCGTTTAGATGTCAAGAGTGGAATAAGACAATTAAAATTAAAACTTCTAAACTACGAAGCTATACTCCAAAAGTTAGCAGAAATGAGAAGACTTTACCAGAGCTACTTACATGTAAGGGACTTACCTTCAAGCAGTCCGACCAAAGATGAATTTGTTGACATTGTCCCAATTTTGTCCGAAAGTCAGCTCAGATGTTTCGAACTGCTCCCAACATATCCGGAATATGAACGTTTGCCTGAACTCTTCCGCAATCTCAAAAAACGTTTTTTGGTTCTCATGTTCCAAACTTTTATCGGAAGAGACAACAAACGTTCAGAAGAAGAACAAGATATTATTTTAAACTTGTTGTATGACATAACTGTCATAACAAGCTTTTTGAAGTAAAACCGCCATTCTCAAACCACTTCATTTTTTCGATGTCCGAACAAGCACCGAAGCCGAACACAATGGCAGATGTCCTTTCAAGGTTGCCAGACAAGCGCCCAATTCAAATTCAAATTGCCCAATTGAACGCTCATCTGACAAACTCCATTAAGACTCTCCAAAATAGTCTTATGTTAGAGATAACCAATCTCAAAGCCAATGTCCTCACGAACCAAGCTTCCAATGAGAAAGTCCTGTACGAGTTCGCGGAAACCTTGCGCCAATACAACATAGAGAACCAAAACCTTGCCCGACTCATCTACCGTTTCTTCGAAGAGATAGACGCCATCTGGAAGGTACTCGGAAAGGACAGAACATGCAACACCGTACTTCGTGAACACAGAATTGCCGAAGGTATTATCAAAGAAGAGGAAGAAGAGGAAGAAGAGGAAGAAGAGAAACACAAAGAAAAGGAAGTTTGGGCAACCCTTGTTGCCGATGACGCTTACGAAATTTCCCAACCCTACCCATACAAAATCCGCAACAAGGAGACAGGCAAGGTTCTTACCCCAGTCCTCAACAACTTGGGACACTTGAACCTTAACCTTCGGAATTACGGTTCAATTTCCATGGGAAGGCTTGTCGGTATGCAATGGGTTCCAAATCCAGACAAGAAGACGAGGGTCAGACACATTGACGGTGACAAGCTCAACAACCGTAAGGAGAACCTCGAGTGGTTCTAAGAGTAAAAAAATTTTATTTTAGGTGGAAACCCCAAGTAAATTTAGGTGTTTATTTGGATAAGTATGTTAAATTAAGGGTAATTTGCAAAATTAGTTCCCGACCTTTGAATTGGGCTCTTTCGTTATCCCAGTTGCGTAGGAGGTCGTCCCAGAGGAGTTGGTAGAATTGCCAATCCAAGGACGATTTGTCCTCCCAGGCATTGAGGATGTACTGCTCGTAGAGTTTCATGACCTCTGCCTTGCACCAGACACCCTCTCCCTTGGAACGTAAGGCTTCTTCGAAGTGCTCGAATGCGATTGGCTGCGTGACCATCCGAAATGACACTTTTTGTCCGTTTGGTCAATGTTTGTGTCTCGTGCCATAGTCGATGAAAATACAGACAAACAGGTTATATATGAGTTTGAGACCAAGAATGGTGTAACTCGACCTGTCCGATTCAAAGACTCCGAGGGCGACCATGAAATTAAACGGAAATTAGCTAGGAAGGAATATAAAATGGACTGGTTGCCACCACCTCCACCTCCACCACCTTTACCTGTTCCTCAAGTAAATAAGCCTTTCCCGTTCCCAAGAATTCCCACATTTTAATTCAAATTCGAATAAAAATTTTTTATTTCATGCAATGTTTTATTTCTGTGCCGTCTTCAAGTATGCCCCAGTACTTACGCTTGGAGAGGACATGAACTTCGGTGAAAATTTTGTCCAATTTGAATTGACCCATCTTTTCACCGACCATTTCCATTTCAACGAGTTTGTTGTATCCTTCTTCGTTCGTCATGAGTGCGTCAATGTTCTCATAGTAAACCACAACTTTCGATTTGACTTCGGAGAAGAATTTGTTGTAGTTGTCAAGGACTGCCTTTGCGAACTGAGGGTAAGACCAATGTTCGACAATAGGTTTTAATGTGGTTACTAAGCCACTTTGACCTTGAGTGAATTCGTACTTCAAAACAAAAGGAGAAAACCTTTCAACAAAGTTGTCGACCTTCTCATAATGTTTACTCTTCATCTCTTGAGGTTTCTTAATGGAATATCCCCATGTCGAATTCATAAGCAATTTGAGTGTCATTGCAAGTTTGGGGTTTGAAGCTTTCCTAATATCCTACAGTTGTTGTATGACTTTTCCAACTGTATAGTTCCTTCCCGGGAACTCACCATCTTCGTTTGGAATTCCAGTCGGAATATATTGGACAAACCTCATGTATGCAGCGTTAAGGTCGACATAGTATATCTTTTCGTTTGAGTCGAACTTGTCGCAACCAATTGGTCCAGTTTGTGGAAATTCAAGTGAGTCTCTTATCTTCTGAGAAACTTCTCCTGTTATCTCATAAACATCGTCGAAGCAACCTGTTTCATATAAAACCTTCTGACCTAACTCAGATGCTCTCCAATACAATTTGACGTCAATTGGATGTCTCAATGGAAGTTTGTTTATAGCATCTTGAAGTTCTTGCAACCTCATTGGAAGTTCTTCTGGTTCAGGTTGGTATCCGAACAATCCAACTCCTTGTGGAATTGTGTACTTCTTTTGTACTAGAACTTTGTCTGGAACAACTTTTGGTCTTGCTAACAGTGAAAAGTTTGTTTCGTCTTTTGGTACAAAAGTTTCTGTCAGCTTGTCATCTGGAATTGGTTCCAACAAACCTTTCTTGAAAAGAATGTTGACAGCTCTGACAATGTTGCACTTACTTTTACCAAAGAATGGGTTTGTAAGACTTTCGTTCAACATGAAGTGGTTGTGGACAATTACAATCTTCAACCATGGTAAGTCTTTGTCAACAACATAGTCGTCATGTGAAGAACCTTTATCTGTAGGTATGTTGACTCGGATATTGACATTTGCCAACGGTGCAATTTTTGCCAATTGACCTCTGAGAATGTACCTTGTCTTCACACATGACTCAAGATACTTCATCTTCTCATCTGTAACAAGACCAGAGTTCCTGAGACATGTAAGAATACAAGGTTCATTGACAATTGTTTCAATTGAATTGTAAATTCCATACCTTGTCAAGTCAATGTCAGACTTATTTATGAACGGGAAGTATCCAGCATGTTGTCTGACTGCTTGAGGGTTAGGTTGGTACCATTCGAACTTGACACTTGCAATTCCTTCAATTGCATTCAAAATGTCTGAGTCGGAGTCAACCATTTGTTCTCTCTTTGTAGTCTTGAAAGCGTCAAGAAGTTTTGCGGCTGTTTGTTCATTGCCATGTGCATAGTAAATGTGACCATCCAAATCTGTTATGGTCAATCTGAGATTGTATCCTTTCTTATTTCCGTCTTGAATTGCAGCAAGTACTCCCATGAAGCCTTCTTTGTTCTTTCCTTCGTCAAAGTTTACTGTAAAGGTTCGACCAGATGTAATTTGACTTCTAACTTCACGGTACTTCTCATATGCATATCTTGTTCTTTCCATGGGAGCATGTGCGTCTTCACCTTTTCCTTTTTTCCTTCTCAAAGGATGCAATTGTTCGTCATGTTTCCAGTAGAATCTGGCAAAGCCGTCGTGTCCTTCAACTTGAGGTTCACTAACATCGAAAGGCATGTCCATAAGACGTTCTTCTTCTAACCTCTCTAGTCTGTTTGGATAATTGGCACGTGCTGTTTCCAAATCCATTTCGTAGCGAAGACCAGCCAGTTTGTCATAGACTTTTATGGGTCTTCCCTTCCTATATTTAAACTTCTTCGAAACTCTCCAACCATATCTTTGCAACTCTGCTTTTATTCTAGCAGACTTTCTATCCATTCTATATGGGGGCATTTTTATAAAAATAAAAAAATGTTTTTTTCTTTACTTAACATAACCGCCTGCTGCCATAAGTCTTTGACGCCAACCCATACCAGCTAATGAAGGTTGACTTGGTTTAGTTTCCAAACTAAACTTTGGTTTTGGTTTATCTTCAGTTTTTGGTTTTCTTCTTCTATCGGTTTTTCGTCACTTTTCGGTTTCTCTGACTTTACTTCACTTGCAGGAACAGTTGTGTCGTCAACATCTTCATAAATATCATATGCCATTTGTTTTTGTTTTCCTTTCAACTTTTTGTGTTTGTTGTAAAGTTTAGAATATTTCGACTCTAAGTCAATGAGATGTTCTATAATGAACTGTTGGTCAGTGAAGTAAACTTTTCCATCTGTTGTCTCGAAAGCTCCTTCAGACTTCAATATTTTATTTGTGAGAGTCTGTTTCTTTTTTGAGATACTTGCCGTTCCATTTTTATGAAAAGTGACTTTGTAGTTAGGGTTTGTATTTCCAGATCTGGCACTTTCTATTATTGAATTTTTCTCTTCATCTGTAAGTTCTTTGACAGGTTTTGACAATGGTTCTGAACTTTTTGTTTGTGGTGTCAAATCTACCGTTTCAACTTCTTCGGTCATTTCATCTCAGTAAAAAATTTTAGTTTGGTTTGTTTTCAACTGGTTGTTAGGTTTTTTAAGTCGGTCTAAAACTTCCTGAGGTATAGGAAGAACTTGACAAACACGTTGTGTAACTGCTGGAAGCCGATAAATCCATCTTGAACCCATTTGTCTCAATGCTGTATTGTTCATTTCATCTCAGTAAAAAACTTTACATTCCCCACGTTTGAGGCGGTTGAGGTTGGTTATTGTTTACCCATTGTTGTGCATGGTTATATCCTCTGTTAAAGAATCTTTCACCTTGGTCCATATAGTGTCCTGCTTGGTTATAGTAGTCATTTGCTTTGTTATAATAGTTTCCTGCTTGTCTTCCTACATTGTCCATCCATCCTTGAACTTTTCCTCTTGTTTCAGGATTTGGAATAAGATTTGTTGCATCTCGTGCTACATCCCAACCTTTCTGTACAGTTTGTATAATAGGTTGTGCTTTCTCTTTCAGTATACCTAATGTACTCAAAATCTTCCTTCCAACTCCAAATACACCTCTGGCTATTGTTCCCACTGCGGGTAAAAATCTGGATGCAACTCCTGCTAATGCGCCAAATAAACCCATTTCTTATAGGATAAAAAATGACGAATCCAAACAAGGACCCCTATGTTTCTAAGGCAACAAAGAAAGCACTCATGATAAAAATCTTTAGTTCAACACCAAATGCTTGGTTTATGGATATCTTGGAAAACATTCCGAGAGTTAGAACAGATGGACCACCATACTGGTTAATATTTGTTGGTCAAAACACAAGATACTGTGAAGCCATACCATTATGGTCCAAAAATATTTTAGATGTGAAAACTGCTTTGACAATATTCGTTGACAAATACCATCCAACAAAACTGACATCTGACTGTGAAAGTTCTTTCAAATCAGATGATGTAAAAAACTATCTGCGTTCAAAAAATGTAAACCAATATTTCATTGTCGACCAAAACCATTCTGCTCTTGGTGTCATTGACGGTTGTATAAAAATGTTAAGAGACTTAAACCAACCACAAGGTGGTGAAGCAAATGAAATGTCATATGACGACAAGTATAGACACTTCTCCATGGCAAAGATGAGACAAGTTTTAAATATTTACAATAACCGTAAACAAAAAGGTTTGGGAAACCACTCCCCCGAAGAAATGAAAAACAACCCTGACTTAGAGAAAGACTATATATTTAATAATTTAGTCAAAAGAGACAAACAAGAAAGAATGCCGGGCTTCAAACTTCAGAAAGGTGACAAAGTAAAAATAGAAATACCTAAACGCGACCCATATGAAAATACTATTGACTATGACAACAATGGGAACTCGACAGGTACTCACATTCGTGTTCGTAAAAATAGAAGAAAGTATACAAGAGAATATTATGAAGTTTTAGGCAAACATGGCAAAATGTACACACTGCAAGCAGAAGATAAAACTACTATTGTCAGACCTCGTTTCAAACTTGTCAAAGTTCAAGGTGGTATACTTTCAAAGACAGTTCCTAACAAATATAAGACAACTCCTGACGAATATGCTAAAGAAGTTGAAAATGACGACTAAGCAATTCTATACCATGCGTAAACTGTCATGTAAGGTGGCATGTATTCTTTACCCAAGCCTGTTGGATTTGTTGTGAAAGTATGTGTATGATTTCCTCCTGGTTCAGTTGGTCGAAAAGTCTTTTTTGCTGAATGGTTATAATCTGGAGATAAAACGTCATTGCCAGCATAATATTCTGAGTTGTATAATGGATGGTCTCTTAATGAGTGACTATGGTCGCCAGAAAAGTTTGTAGTTCCCGTATGAGTGTGCGGTGGAAGGTTTGCTTCAGTAATTTTCTTCGAACCTCCTGTTTCCTTTGAAGAGTTTGCACAATACAAAAACCTGTCGACTATTTGTTCCCATGCACCAACACCAAACATTACTTGAGGACCTCTTGCTTCCATAGATGTATAAATAGAACCTACTGGGTTCATTAAATCAAACATATGAGATATTATAGGATTGTCTCTTTTGAACTTAAAATATAGTGCAACTATTTCAGGTTTCTTCTGGTTTGTGTAAGAATATTTTTTATAATATAATCTTATGTTTTCAGGGTAGGTAAAATCTTGACTATAATATTTATTTCTGTCATCTATATAATAATATACTATTCTCGTTTTTTCTATTGCATTATATCTTTTATATCTATAATAATCTAAATATAATGTTTGCTTTTGTTCATCTGCATGTAGTGTTCCTTCGTCATCTACATAGTCATAATAATATGGTGCTGGAGCTGGGTCAGGCAATGTCATATCTGCCATTTCATAAACTCGGAAATATTTCTTTTGTTCGTCTCCATATAAGTTTAAGTAGCAGTTGTTGTCTAATGGAACTTTAACTTGTGTACCATTATTCTTTATATAGCTTACATACATTTCATTGTTATTTTTCGGAATGAGTTTATACCGTATACCATTTTTTAAGGAATGTACAAACTGCCATCTAAAATATTTATTTTCTTCATTGACAGAAAAGTCACCAACAATAGTTTCAATATTTTTTGTTGTTCCTATCAAACTTTGGTATATTTCATTGACATATGTTTTATCTGCTTTCTTTTCAAGGCTAACGTTTAAGTCTGTTATTTCAGATATAGAATGTGTATGTCCAACGTTACTTTTACTGTTTAAGGTTTCTTGTAAGTTTGTAATATTTGCAATGGTATGTGTATGTCCAACGTCACTTTTCGTGTTTAAGGTTTCTTGTAAGTTTGTAATATTTGTAATGGTATGTGTATGTCCAACGGCACTTTTCCTGTTTAAGGTTTCTTGTAAGTTTGTAATATCAGATATAGAATGTATATGAGTCTTTTTAGAATATTCGTTTTCAGCTCTTGTCACTTCACTTGACATTTTATTGTCAACATATGTTTTGTCTGCTAGTTCAGGATGAGTATGTTCTTTTGTTGCATAAGCATTGTTAGCTCTTTCTTCTTCTTTTGCTATTGCATCGTCTACATATTCTTTGTCAGCTTTGTTGTCAACATCTGCTTTCAAAAGAAGTTCATTTATAGGTTTCTCGTTTAAAGTTCCTTTTGTTGGATTTATACAGACAGTATGGTTCTTATTGTCTTGAAACAGAAACTCATCTGTCATTGGGTTTAATGTCAGTTTTAAGTTTCCTTCTTTCAATGACTCAGATATCTTAGAGTAGTTTGAAAAGTTTGTTGTGTTCTTATTTAGAGCTTGCATAATGAGTTGTCGGTTGTGTTGTATTTCTCTTATGGAAGCAATATCTTTCGACATTTTTATTCTAGATAAAATATGCTTTCAATAGAAAAAGAAAATTCAAGAGTTGCTACAACTAAACCATTAGATGAACTTTTTACTAATGTCGGTCAAAAGTTTGAGACAGAGACCGTAAAGCATGAAGGCTATCGTTTTGACTACCCATTAAGATGGCTAAGAGACCCATCTGTCACAAAAGCTATTGGCTTTCGTAGAATGAAGTTCATTTCAGAAGCCATACATGGTTTCCCATTTACGGTCGGTTTTGAAGTTCGATACTATAACAAAGAAAAACGTATGTATGAGAAATTTGAACAGGGAAAACTTTTACAAGTTAGTTTGCTTGTAAACTTAGAAACAACTCTTCAAGCTTTTCAAGAAAAAATAAACGATATCTATATCGAATATGCAAACCAGTATAACATTGACGAGGGAGAGTACCATCTCGATATTATTTATGACAGGAAAAATGCAACTGTTAAAATCAATAGAATAGAAGACCTTGGAGAAAACGTTTATATTTCTACAAAATATAACAACTTGGCATGGTATAGATTTATGAGGATGTTAAATCAGCCTGCAGCATATCCAGTACACCCAGACTTTTATGAAGTCGAAAACCCTAATGGAACATATGAAAATGTTTTCGACCAAGATGCTATTATTGTTCATGCTTCATTTTCTGGCGCCCAAAACTCTTTCTTATGCTTGGCAAATGACTTTTACGAAAAACCTACAAAGTTATACGAACCACCAAGTGGAAGTATTTCAGACTTTCAAGTATGGTTTACTACAGATGGAAGAAAAAGAATAATTCCATTATACCATGCGTTTTACTTAGAACTTAGTTTCATATACAACTACTATCGAACGGTAAAAATATAATTTTTTAATATACCGGTTGTGGTGTTGGATTTGGTTGCCAACTTGACTGTGGTGCAGGTTCAGGCTGTTGTATAACAGGAGCTTGCTCTTCTGGTTCAGGGTCTTTAGGTATAATACCAACAAACTGACCTACTCTTTTACCAATATTTTTGACACCGTTCCATACTCCTCTTCCGACAGATTTTATTCCATTCCATATACCTCTTCCAACATTTCGAAAGAAGTTTCCTATCTTACTGAAGAAACCCATTTACTACGTGTAAAAATCTAATGTCCGCCTAGTCTCTTACGTTTCCTGTTGAGTTCCATAGCATTCTTTAACTGGAGCTCATACATTCTGTTTCTCCTCTGGTAGAAAACATATTCTGGGTCAACTCCTGTGTTCGCGTCATCTGCATAAAGTTGTTTATATCCCACTTCAGGGTTTGTATAAAACTCTTTCCATCTCATATTTGCATACCATGGTGGCAAACCTAACGCAGCGTCATTTGACATGGCAGTTTGCATTTGTACATCTGTTGGCACTTGACCATAGTTTGCCATTGCAGTTTGTATTCTAACTTCATTTGGAATATTCTCTGGGTTTGGTTGTCCAGGTTGCTGTGCATTCGCTAAGTTCTGTGCGTCCATTTAATATTAGATAAAAATATCTCTTACGAGTACATATGCTGAACATTTGCAGGCATTGGTTCATCTTCATATTCTCTGTACTTTTCTGCCACGTCAAATAAATAAATGACACAATGGAAAAAACCTAAAACAAGTAGTCCTATTTCAAACCACATTTACTTACTAATAAAATTTCTTTATTGTGACACTTTCTCCGGTTTATAGGACCTCTCTCATATTCTATCTTGTCATATCTAAACTCATAGTCATGTATGTCCTCTAACCATCTCATAACGGTTTCCAAACCACTTTTATCGGATGTAAAGTAAAAGCATGGATGGTTATGTAAAACGTCTAAAGTTTCTAAAGAGTCTCTCAAAGTCCAGTCTACTTGGTATTGAAAATCCCATGTGTTATAGAACGGCGGGTCCACTATAAAGAAAACATTTTCCTTGTCTTTATATTTTTCATACAACTCTGTCCAATGACATCTCACAAATTCTATACCCTCAATATATTTTTCTATGTCCTCTTTGAAAACATTTGTATAGTTAAGATATAAAACTTTTGACATAAGTGTTTCAATGTCATGAACTCTTATAGCACCACTATATAATAGTCTAGCAGATATACTATCCCAGTCTATATATTCTGCTTTTTTCAAAACCTCTCTCACAATATTTTTCTTATCTAATGGTATACGTTCCATCTTACCTATAGGTATCTTTTCTTTTAACTCTTTCAATATATTGTTTGTGTCTGGAATATGTTTGAGACGGTCCATATAGTTGTCGAAGTCATTGCATATAATCTTTGAGTCTGGGAATATTGTATGGCACAAATGGGATATATAGAAACTTCCACCGAACAAATCTACAAATATTAGACCATTCGGTAGTTTCTTAAGTTCTCTCAATATAATATCTTTACATCTACTCTTATTTCCAAAGAACGGTAACGGTGGTTTTGTAAAATTCATTTTATATATAATAATAAAAATGTTTTTTCCTGAAAAGTGACAGAAAAGTGACAAAACATGAAAACATATATAATTTGTGAAAAGCGACACATTATATAATGTTTTCGACCCAGAAGAAGGCTTCTTCCCAGAAGCAATGGAGGAAGAAGAAGAGTCCTCCGAATTCACACCAGAAGACTAACAATTATCCGAATAAAAACTTCATTTATACTAAACATCTTCGGGGCTAGAGGGCACGAAGTGCCTGGAAGCCCCACTACTTTTTTTTAGTGGATTTTGTGTTTATTATTTAAAAAATATAATTGATAAAATATAATTAACATTAATAGAATAATATGGATAAGATTTGATAAAAAACAATTGTTGTAAGACGAGTTACGGAAAGTGAGGTGAACCGAAAAAGTGACACTTATTTGGTCGGATAAATTCCCTATATATTTACTTGTCAAAAAAAATCAGACTTTTTTTGCTTTAAAAAATTTATAAGTTAATTATTGAGAACGAAGGTGAAAGGAAATGTATACCTCTTACCCTTTCATTCCCTCGAGAAAGTTCAAAAACTTGGTGCAATCAGTTCTGATTGCACCCAAGTTTTTGAACTTTGTATAAGGAATTGTTGGCTATGATGCACTGATCATGAATCAGTACATCATAGCCAACAATTCCTTCGCAAACAGCGGGAAACTTTGTCTGAATAGTTTAACATTCAGACAAAGTTTCCCGCTGTCAGAGAGGGAATGGAAGGGTAAGAGGTATATATTCATAATGTTCCTCTTACCCTTTCATTCCCTCGAGAAAGTTCAAAAACTTGGGTGCAATCAGTTCTGATTGCACCCAAGTTTTTGAACTTTGTATAAGGAATTGTTGGCTATGATGTACTGATCATGAATCAGTACATCATAGCCAACAATTCCTTCGCAAACAGCGGGAAACTTTGTCTGAATAGTTTAACATTCAGACAAAGTTTCCCGCTGTCAGAGAGGGAATGGAAGGGTAAGAGGTATATATTCATAATGTATACCTCTTACCCTTTCATTCCCTCGAGAAAGTTCAAAAACTTGGGTGCAATCAGTTCTGATTGCACCCAAGTTTTTGAACTTTGTATAAGGAATTGTTGGCTATGATGCACTGATCATGAATCAGTACATCATAGCCAACAATTCCTTCGCAAACAGCGGGAAACTTTGTCTGAATAGTTTAACATTCAGACAAAGTTTCCCGCTGTCAGAGAGGGAATGGAAGGGTAAGAGTATATATTCATAATGTATACCTCTTACCCTTTCATTCCCTCGAGAAAGTTCAAAAACTTGGGTGCAATCAGTTCTGATTGCACCCAAGTTTTTGAACTTTGTATAAGGAATTGTTGGCTATGATGTACTGATCATGAATCAGTACATCATAGCCAACAATTCCTTCGCAAACAGCGGGAAACTTTGTCTGAATAGTTTAACATTCAGACAAAGTTTCCGCGTCAGAGAGGGAATGGAAGGGTAAGAGGTATATATTCATAATGTATACCTCTTACCCTTTCATTCCCTCGAGAAAGTTCAAAAACTTGGGTGCAATCAGTTCTGATTGCACCCAAGTTTTTGAACTTTGTATAAGGAATTGTTGGCTATGATGCACTGATCATGAATCAGTACATCATAGCCAACAATTCCTTCGCAAACAGCGGGAAACTTTGTCTGAATAGTTTAACATTTTGGAGAACGGTTTCGACGTTAATACCGCTTTGAATAGTTTAACATTTTGGAGAACTTATACAAAGTTCAAAAACTTTGTCTGAAGAATTCTTCCATCTGTTAAAGGACATTTTGGAGAACGGTTTCGACGTTAATACCGCTTTGAATTTGTTGATTAGCTTGATTTAACCATTCTAAATCAATTAAATCGAAGATTCTACCACTCATTGGAAAATTATAAGTTTTGAAAAAAAACCGTAAATCATTATTGAATCTAAAAATATTTATGTACAAAAAGTCGGTATATATTCTATAATTATTTAAAATAATGAAAAAGTTGATTTGTGAATCATTGAAATATTAATGCTGTTATATATATATATCAGATGATATAAGATGATTTTTTTAAATAAAAAATAAAATTTAATTTTTTAATTGTTAAAATAAGAATAGTAAGCTTGACAAGTAATTTAAGTTTTTGCTTTGTAAAGTTATTTGGTTGGCAAATGCATTGTGTCACTTTTTGTTTGAGTTCACTTTCCGTAATTTGTCTTATGATACAATCATAAATTTTTTGGGCGCCATATAGAGAACTATAGTCTGCAAGGTACTGATTCTATCCATGTACCTCGCAGACCATAGTTCTCAGCCAAAATGCCTCTAAAATTTGTATACCTATAAACTCAAACTTCAATATATTCAATTTTATTTTTATAATTAATTTAAATATATCCATATAATTCTAATGTTTTCTTTTAATTTAAAAAATAATAATAATAATTAAAAATAAAAATAAAAATAAAAATAAACTTTTCTATAATATTTATAAAGCTGATTTGATATATAACACATTTAGCTTAACAAAATAACTTAGAAAAATTGCCGCGCAAAATAAGAGTAAGTGTCACTTTTTATCACTTTTTCTAGTGATGCATTTCGGTACGAAACACAATTTCAAAAAATTCAAATGGATATTCAAAAAAATGGAGAAGTAAATTTTGACTCAGGTAACTGGCTTGATCAGGTAGACAGAACGTCATTTGTTCAAGTTGTCACTCCTGTTGAAGGAAATCCAATAGAAATCAATCCAATTCATGAATCTTTACAAACTGCAACTTATATCGAAACACCATTCGAATCTGTTTCTTTTTTAATGGGCAGGAAAATTCACTAAGCAATTATAGCCGATACACCCCCTGAAAATCCAGAAAATCCAGAAAAATATACTCCAAGAAATTATCTCGCAGCCAACTGCCACGAAATTTGGCATGCTGACATACACTACTGGAGAAAACGTATTGGAAAATATCTCTTTGCTATAATTGATGATAGATCAAGAAAAATTATCGATTTTAATCTTTTTACTGAAAAAACGGCACAAAATACAACAAACGTTTTGAAAAAAAAAGAGCACTTACTACAATACCTCATCCCCCTTTTGCCATTTGGACCGATAACGGTCTGGAGAACAAAAGTACATTTCACCAATTACTCGTCGAAAAAGGAATCTAACATATTTTTATACAGCACGGAAACCCTCAAGCTAACGGCAAGATCGAATGTAATAAACAGAAATTCATCAAAAGTGACAGCTCTCAATTTTTTGACATTTGTAAATTCTAAATTGAATGAGAAAAATGAAATAATACTAAGCATAATACAATATTCTAGATTTAATTATAATTAGGAAAAAGTTAGTTTTGAGAGTACTTTTCATAGGCATATAGAATAAAATCTTCTGAAAAATAATATCACATAAACTCATATTATTTTCTAATATATAACTATTTTATATTGTAATAAACAGAAATTCATCAAAAGTGACAGCTCTCAATTTTTTGACATTTGTAAATTCTAAATTGAATGAGAAAAATGAAATAATACTAAGCATAATACAATATTCTAGATTTAATTATAATTAGGAAAAAGTTAGTTTTGAGAGTACTTTTCATAGGCATATAGAATAAAATCTTCTGAAAAATAATATCACATAAACTCATATTATTTTCTAATATATAACTATTTATATAAAAATCAAATTCAATGATCTTAAAAGCGAAGGATAAACCTCAAAATTACGAATATAATGAGTGGGAATATAATGCTTATCTATCATAAAACCATATGAAATATCAATTTTTGCTTACGCCTAATTTGACGACAATTAGCAAAAAATGTTAAATGTTAACACTCAGTCCATTTGAATATGAAAAATAAAATTGACTTTGATTAAATGTTTTTATTTATCATGCAATTCTTCTTGCGACCAAAGATTTGAATAAAATTTCAAAAAATAAGATAGCTTAAAAAATAATATACGGTAGTGTTTACTAATAGATGAATAGTATATAAATTCTATAAAATGGATTTGATCCAAAAAATATATAAAATTTGATCATAAATAAAATCGTTTTAAATTACTTCTTCATTTAAATTATACAATTATTTTTGGGTTTTTTATATTTTTTTGGATCAAATCCATTTTAATAGAATTTATATACTATTCATCTATTAGTAAACACTACCGTATATTATTTTTTAAGCTATCTTATTTTTTGAAATTTTATTCAAATCTTTGGTCGCAAGAAGAATTGCATGATAAATAAAAACATTTAATCAAAGTCAATTTTATTTTTCATATTCAAATGGACTGAGTGTTAACATTTAACATTTTTTGCTAATTGTCGTCAAAAATTAGGCGTAAAGCAAAAATTAATATTTCATATGGTTTTATGATAGATAAGCATTATATTCCCACTCATTATATTCGTAAATTTTGAGGTTTATCCTTCGCTTTTAAGATCATTGAATTTGATTTTTATATAAAATAGTTATATATTAGAAAATAATATGAGTTTATGTGATATTATTTTTCAGAAGATTTTGTGTTCTTCTTCAAAATTTTATTTTTTATTAAAAAGAATCTTTACAAAATATACATTTACTTTAACTAATATTTAAAAACGTGCTCTATCAAAAGTTCCAAAAATTCAATGTTTTAGCTTTTCTGAGGTGTCACTTTTGATGAATTTCTGTTTACAACAATATAAAAATCAAATTCAATGATCTTAAAAGCGAAGGATAAACCTCAAAATTTACGAATATAATAAGTGGGAATATAATGCTTATCTATCATAAAACCATATGAAATATCAATTTTTGCTTTATGCCTAATTTTTGACGACAATTAGCAAAAAATGTTAAATGTTAACACTCAGTCCATTTGAATATGAAAAATAAAATTGACTTTGATTAAATGTTTTTATTTATCATGCAATTCTTCTTGCGACCAAAGATTTGAATCAAATTTCAAAAAATAAGATAGCTTAAAAAATAATATACGGTAGTGTTTACTAATAGATGAATAGTATATAAATTCTATTAAAATGGATTTGATCCAAAAAGATATATAAAATTTGATCATAAATAAAATCGTTTTAAATTACTTCTTCATTTAAATTATAACAATTATTTTTGGTTTTATATTTTTTTGAATCAAATCCATTTTAATAGAATTTATATACTATTCATCTATTAGTAAACACTACCGTATATTATTTTTTAAGCTATCTTATTTTTTGAAATTTGATTCAAATCTTTGGTCGCAAGAAGAATTGCATGATAAATAAAAACATTTAATCAAAGTCAATTTTATCTCATACCGAAATGGCTCACCAAAAATGTGACATTTTTGGCGCCAATAATTTGATTTTTCTGATTCTTTCTATTTAGATATATTTATTTAATATTCATATTCCTTTATATTGCCTCATATTATTTCCCATTTTTAATCATATTATACAAATCTTTAATAATTTTTAATGTTTTGAGCTTCAAAATCTTGTTCTAACTATTTTCATTCATATATCCTAGAAAAAATAAAAAGTTTTTTAGAAATAAAAATGTTTGTATGTAAAGTATTGAAAATATTCTAGAAGAGAAGACATTCTCCAGAAGAGATTGATATTGATTGGCTTTGTGAAGCCATCACAAAATCAAATAATGGAGTTAAGTTAACTGATATTTGCGCGAAAGCTAAAATAAATCATGAAGGCAGAGTTATATATAATCATACTATCTTAAAGTATTCCTAGAAATTTCCAAAATTAACCGAAATATAACTGTACAGAATTACTATTTTCGAGATAAAATTCATATGGAAATACTAATTCATAACGCTTTATGTTATATAAAATTTAATTTATAAAAATTTCAAAATAAATCAAATTTAACACAATGAATATAACTGCAATCGAGGTTTTTGACGATTGATTCTTACGAGAAGTTTTCCAAACTTTGAGTTAATGTCAAGACATTAACTCAAAGTTTGGAAGTCTAATAAGGGGAATTGTAGGCTATGAGGTACTGATTATATATCAGTGCCTCATAGCCTGCAATTCCCATTAAAAATCGGAGAAACTTTGTCCGCATAACTGATGATGCGGACAAAGTTTCTCCCATTTCTACTTAGAATGAAAGGGCAAGAGGTATATAGGTACACTATATATCTCTTGCCCTTTCCTTCTTACCTAAAGACTTCCAATCTTATTTTTTTCCAATTTTTCCCCTAAATTTAAATCTTATTATATATAAAAAAATGCATATATCAATCACAAAAATTAATGTTTATTTTTTTAATTAAAATTGCCGCGCAATTTAAGGTTTTCTGTCACTTTTTTGTTAGCCATTTCGGTACGAAACAAATCAAAGTCAATTTTATTTTTCATATTCAAATGGACTGAGTGTTAACATTTAACATTTTTTGCTAATTGTCGTCAAAAATTAGGCGTAAAGCAAAAATTGATATTTCATATGGTTTTATGATAGATAAGCATTATATTCCCACTTATTATATTCGTAAATTTTGAGGTTTATCCTTCGCTTTTAAGATCATTGAATTTGATTTTTATATAAAATAGTTATATATTAGAAAATAATATGAGTTTATGTGATATTATTTTTCAGAAGATTTTGTGTTCTACTTCAAAATTTTATTTTTTTTATTAAAAAGAATCTTTACAAAATATACATTTACTTTAATTAATATTTAAAAACGTGCTCTATCAAAAGTTCCAAAAATTCAATATTTTAGCTTTTCTGACGTGTCACTTTTGATGAATTTCTGTTTACAACACCGCAATGAAAATAATTGCAAATCAGAAGCAGATCTGAAAAAAGGCATCAAATTTTACAACAACATGCCGCATTCATCGCTCCCACTCAATCCAAAAACAAACGTATACTTTACACCAAACGATTTTGAGGCAAGCGAGATTCAAAATCATTGGTACCAAAATCCTAAGCAGGAACCATATTGGTACGTAGACGGAGAGCTTAAAAACCTCAGAGAGAGCATCGAAAACTTCAGAAACTCATAATCTCAAGAAACTCAAATAAATTTTCAGAAAAATATCGATATAAGAAAGAATAAACAAGCATTTTACTAAGCATGAAAGGATATTTACTCTAATACAAGTTTGACTCTATACAAGCAAAAACGAAATTCAAGTTATAAGTTATCTACACAAAGTTACTCACAATAACAAGCAAATCAAAAGCACATCACATAAAAATTGTATTCCCCATTTCGATTTTCTCCAATTACCAATATTTCATTTTTTTATATAATTGAATAGGCATACTATATACCTCTCACGCTTCAATTCCTATGAGAAAGTTCGAAAACTTGGTCGCAATCAGATGCAATTGCGACCAAGTTTTCGAACTTTCTCGAGGGAATGGAAGCCTATAATGCACTGATTTTGTATCAGTGCCTAGTAGGCTCTCATTCCCTCTCTGAAGCTGGGAAATTTTGTCTGAATAGTTTAACATTCAGACAAAATTTCCCAGCTTCAGAGTTGGAATTGAAGGGTGGGAGGTATATAGGCATACTATATACCTCTCACCCTTCAATTTCAAATTAAACACTACTAAAACAATCATTTTCAATTTTTTTGTTAATTAATAAATAATAATAAATAAAAATCCTCACATATTATAAATAATTTATTAAAAACCCTTTCGATTTTTGCCGCGAAAAATAAGAGTAATTTTCACTTTTTTGTCACTTTTTCTAGGGAACCTTTTCCGTACGGAACAAAAAATATATTTTCTTTTGAAAATGAATTTTTTAAAAAAGGAATTTTTTTTCGGTGCCATAGGAAGAATTGGAGG